TTTTTTTTTTTTAAGTTTGTATAAAATTACAACGAGATAGTGCCTCCAAAAAAGTAAAGCGGGAGGGGGGAATGGGGAATTAGCCCTCAATATAGGTCATAATCCACAATTTAAGGACTAAATGCCTAAAACAAAAAGCTTTTAATCCTACACACTCAACATCAACCTGAGCACTGCATGTGAAAATTTGATCATTCAAGCCAAAGTTTTAAGAATTATACAGAGAAGTGAGAATTTCAAAACAACCAAAATTTAGAATTTTATGGCAAGTTTTATTTCACTTATACCATCAAGATGTAATTAAAAGCTTCCAACAAAATTAATAAATACAAGTTCAAAAAGACAAATCTATTTGTTCATTGTTGTCTACATTTGGTGAAGAAAAGTTTGCAATGACAAAACAAGAACAATGTGGCAAAAGGGAAAAGTCACCGACTGTTCTAAGGTTCCCCTCTCCCCAAATACCCTAAAACAGACTGCAAATCTTCCAAATGGGTCCACTGCTAGATATATATATACTAGAACACAGTTTTTTATAATGGAGGTCAAGAGTTTCAAAAATGTCAATCACAAATATTAGGACTTCCGCCTAAGGAAACATTCATGGTGGGAACAAAGATACAAAAAGGTACAAAAATGGTACAAAAATGTTAAGGCACAAAAATGAATAACGTAGTCTTGTTTTATAACAGGGAAAACTGAAATCTATTCCCATACCCAGCAATAGGTGAGTAAACTAAAATACGTCCATTGAGTACATTAGTTATCTATAAAAATGTCTGTAATGTATAACTAAGTCAAAAATATAACAGGATCACATTAAAAAATAAACTGCTTAAGGATAAGTTCCTATGTAGATATGCATGGTTTTGCAAAGAATAGATATACATGAATGTGTAGACAGTTACCTATTTGTAAAATACTAATCTACTTAAGGATTTAAATAAAAAGGAAAAAAAAAAAGAATTGTCTTTCCCCAAAAAGTCTTGTTGAAATTCGGTGGTTCTGACGAAGATTTTATCTTCTCATCACTGCAGCAAGAATGTCAGAAATCATGAAGGCTGTACAGTGTCTAGCAATAAAACATAACATTCTGTGATTAAAAAGTTCAATCTAGCCTCAACTTGACCTCTATTGCAGACTCCACATTTGACATTCTCTCAAAGCTTGACTCTTTTTCCTGTCTTTGCCTTCAATAGGCTAAATAAATGAAAACATAAGGAACAGTTAAATCACTTACTATAGAGTTTCAGCAGACTGTAGTACAACTGGTCTCTATCACATTCAAATAGCTTCTCTGTTAGTTCTACTAATTTCTCCAGAGTTTCAACCTTAAAAATAAGATTAACAGTGTATCAACATTTTATAAAGGACATATTTTACAGCTGACAAATAGCAGTTGCACAATCCTCCAAATCTGCTTTATCTAAAGAGTAAATTAACTTCACTTTGAAGTTAAAGGGCCAGGCACAATATGAATATACTTCATGCCATTGAACTACACACTGAAAAATGGCTAAAATGATAAATTTTATGCTATGTCTATTTTACCACAATTTAAAAAAATTATTTTTTAAGTTATAAGGCTGAATTAAGAAAAAAACATGAATATCTAGTTGAGGAATCACTTCTTGGCCTTTTGGCTAAGATCAAGTGAGTATCTGGTTACAGGAACCTCCACAAAGGTGCACTGTGGAGAATTCAAAATATCTTCAAGCCCAGGTTAACATTTTTTAGGGTTTCTGCTGTACCTCTGGAGCAAGAAATAAGCTCTTACTTGCTTGGAAAGCAATCAAGATAAATAACACTGCTTCCACAATCCTCTCTCTCAAAATCCCCAAATGTTCTGATGCCACACAGGACACCAGCCCTCTACTCACATTTAGATGATTGAGATGTCAGATATCAAAACACAAACCTGATTACTTGTGATGCATTTGTCACAAAACCACTGAAGTCGTGAAGGTCGAGCTCTAATGCCCGGAGTCTATAAAGTAAAATAGCATCCAAGTCAGTCTTTAGCTAAATATTAATTTTTTCTCAAAGACAAAATTTTCTTTCTAATCGATTTGCTGCCAAATAGATGCTAAACCTATACTCAACTATATTACAACTCAACAAAACTAAACTTACATATTAAAATATAAATACTAGTATACAACATTTATACTATACAGCAACTGCCAATAAACTTTAACTTAATCCCACAGTTAATCAAACACATCTAAGTAAGACTAGAACAGTGCATAAAACATTTCAAATTGTATGCAAAACCAGCACATTGTACCCTATGATTGTATTAATGTACATAGCTATGATTTAATATTAAAAAAACACA